GGCACTCTACTATTAGAAAACACTTTACTGTACTGTATTAAACAATATTAAATGAAATGAAGCCAGAGAAGGCATGAACTTCAGAAAAGGACAATACACTAACGGTACAAAAACTTAAATGAGTTTCAGGGAAGGGTTACTAAAATTTTACGGTAGCGCTCGATTTTATTCAAAAATTTTCAAAGTGCTCAGCACCACGAAAAATATAATTTTTTCTTCCGCTTTCAAAACTTGTTTTGACGCTGAAAAACTATCAAATAGTATTATTGAACAGTATTAAAACACTTTGTGGGCAAAAATATTTCATTGTGGATGTATAAAGAGCCAAAAAAATTTTGCGCGCAAAAAAACATTTTTTTTTGAAGGTTTTTAAAAATTTTGAACAGGTTAACTCTTATGTGTGCTTATAAACTTAATATTAGCTAATGCGGCATATCAAAATGTATTAGAAACCGAAATATCTAAGCTTTTGCTTGAAATTAACCTATCGATAATCCTGAAAAACCTCAAAAAATGACCATTTTTAGGGCCAAAAATCGGTTTTTTTTCAAATAAAACCAGGTTCCTCCCATTTTCAACACTTCCCACTATCACCAATCGATTCAGGGGCCAAAAATACGTCTTTTAAGATATGTCTGATGACTCTGGTGTATCGAGCAGAAAATCCCCGTAACAGCTCCTACTATTAATGGCACAGAACCTGAAATTGGGTGGAAAAAATTAAAAAAAAAACTTTTTAATATCACTGACAAATTCATCAAGAAATGCTCAGTTAAGACAGATGGACAAGATCCATGGTTTGACTCAGAGTGCTATGATGCATGGCGCAAGAAAATAGGACTGCATAAAGATAGACATAAAAGCGATAGAGCCCAAATAGCATTCTCCCTTGCCAGGAAAAACTTCAAAAATGTGATTGCTCAAAAAATGCGAGAAACATTAAATGAATCAGATGATAGCGCTCTTGTAACAAAAAAATTCTGGTCATATGTAAAATCAAAAACAGCTAGTCAAAGAATTCCTGAGTTTGTAAGCTACAAAGGCATTGTCCGCAACTGCCCAGAGGACCAGGCCAACTTATTTAATGGCTTTTTCTTTGAGCAGTTCTCTGAAGCATCATTATACGACATAGATATTGATTATTCAAACGATTGGCGCTTTGATATTGCATTTGACCACCAAAGGGTTCGAAAAATCCTTTCCAATATTAACCCTAACAAAGCTTATGGGCCTGACGGTATTCATGGGAAACTTTTGAAAAACTGTGCTGTTGGGCTTGCATACCCATTATCACTATTATTTCATTCATGTTACAACATTGGGACATTACCTAGGGAGTGGAAACTGGGACACGTTGTACCCATATATAAAAAAGGTGATAAACACGAGGTTTCAAATTATAGGCCAACATCCCTTACATGCTTAATCACCAAAGTTCTTGAACGCATAATTAAAGATGAGTTACTTGCACTTACTAACGGCATGATCAACGATAAACAACACGGTTTTCGAGCTGAAAGATCATGTGCAACTAATCTTGTAGGTCTATGTGACAGCCTAGCTCTCTCACTGAATGAAAATATGAGAACAGATGTAGTCTACTTTGATTTTGCCAAAGCTTTCGACTCAGTTAACCATGATCTTATATTATTTAAGCTAAAGAGCAAATTTGGTATTGATGGGAGGCTACTGAAATTCATCACTGATTATCTAAGAGACAGGCAACAACAGGTCTTGATAAGTGGTAAGTTTTCTTCCATGAGAAACGCCCAATCTGGTGTACCACAAGGGTCAATTTTGGGACCTTTGTTGTTCATTATGTTCATTGATGATATATCAGTGGGGATTTCACCTGGCACACAACTGTCACTGTATGCCGATGATACTAAAATTTGGCGTGAGATTGTTTCGGAGTCTGATATCCTGCGACTGCAGAAGGACATTGATTATCTCCATGACTGGTCACTTTCTAATAAAATGAGATTTCATCCCGACAAATGTAAGGTCCTCACCGTCGCAGGAAGGATATCCGAAACAGTTTCCCTCCTTAGTGTCCTACCACTCTTTAACTTTGTATACTCCATGGGAAGAATCGCACTTGACTATGTCGATCATGAAAAGGATTTGGGTGTTTTTGTGACCAAGAATCTCGACTGGCAAGACCAGTGCTCTAAAGTCCTCTCAAAGGCCAACCAAAAATTAGGCATGGCAAGGAGAAATTGCTATTTTGTTCAAGATGTAAATCGTCGTAGAGTACTGTATCTCACTTTAATGAGAAGTCAATTTGAGCATTGCTCAGTTATATGGAGACCGGTCACAAAATCCCAGATAAGCAAGCTGGAGGGCCTCCAAAAGCGTGCTATTAAGTGGATTCTTCGCGAGGAGTATATGAGTTATCCACCATCCACATACATTCAGAAATGCAGACAGCTTAAGATTATGCCCATAGAAGACCGCTTCGACTTTCTTGACCTTATTTTCTTCTTTAAAATTGTGAAGCAACATATTCCTGTCACTTTACCCTCATATTTGCAACCATATCAAGGCCACTCAAGGTTAAGAAATAGCCACATGGACCCCTTATGTTTTGTAAGCTCGATCTTACCACGAGCAAGCTCTAACGCTTTTGCTAAGAACTTTTACTTTAGGACCCATTCCAAATGGAATCATATTCCTCTAGATATACGTGAGATAGAGACTATTTCTGAGTTCAAAAGCAAATTGACCTCCTACATGTGGGATAAAATTATGCCGGAGGACTTTGATTATGATCTAGATTTTTCCCTCGAGACAGAGATGTGAAGCAGTTTACCTAAAGCTAACAATATGTTCATAAGGAGCTAAATCCCTGTTGTCTGTATTTCTCATTTCTCATTTTAGTGCATGTCATCACATCATGGATTTCACTTTATTATATGATTTGATTGCTTTTGATATTTTTGTGTGTTTCTATTTGAAATTCTATTTAAAATTTAAGATTTTCGTGGGCCCATACTTGTGCAGGAGGTGCATTTTGCTCTCAACATCTGTGTTTTGGTGACCCTCAGGTCCTTTGATTACATACATTATGTCCTAGAAAATCTGATTTTATCGGAGTCTTATACTTTTGAGAAAATTTAATGTTGTTCATTCATTGTGTAAATTTGTATGTAATTGATCGATTTGAAAGATTTCAATAAAAAAAAAGCTGGTTCCTGAGTATCCGATATTGATACGGTCATTTCAGTCTGTTAAAGGGGCTGCAGAGTGCTGGAGATGATTGTACGGTGTAGGGGGATGTGTTTACTAACTATTTTGACGTCAAAATAGTCGCCCAAGATTCCCTGAGTCATGGAATGAACGAAATGAACAAAAATGAACATTTTTCTAAAACTCGTCGGATTGCCCCAAAACAGGTAGGAATCGTTTGGTATTGACCCTAATAGTGTTCCTACAAATTTTGGTGGCCCTAGCACTCCCAGAACACCCATTATACCCTTGGCTGGATTCAAGAATTTAGAACCAGTTGAGCAGATAAAACGGATTTTGAGAAATTTTGTCTGCTTGTGTTGTTGCAGAGAGTTGAATTTGGTTCAACAGTATTCAAACAAGATGTGTTCCAACTTAGTTTTGTAGCCCTACTAGTTTCAGAACGTCCACTAGAATCCGGTTCCATTTTCTTCCAAGAAGCTGTAGACAAGGTTGTTTGAAATTTAAATTTAACCTCTCTGGTAATACAACTTTTTACTTGGATGGATTTCAATAATTAAAGAGAGCAGATTGTTACTTTGTTATTTTTGAGATTTGATTTTTTGATATCATATGTACAAATGTATAAATCAGTTTCTACAAATTGTAACAGCAATTGGCAGTAATAAAGCGGTAGTAATAGTTTTGCACAACATCAATCATAATATCATTCAATACTTCAATACCTTCAAAATAATTTAACTCGGTTATAATAATTTAAACGCAGATCTAAAAGAACTAAGCACAGTAGTAGGATGAAGTTCCAGGCAAGGTTGGAGGAAGGTAGAGGTGAAGCTGTGGGTAAGGATAGTAGGCTGGGAAGGATCCATTTCTGATCCCGCGAGAGCAAATCCAGTTCCAAGTGAGAGCAAATCCAGTTTCAAGTGAGAGCAAATCCAGTTCCAAGTGAGAGCAAATCCAGTTCCAAGTGAGAGCAAATCCAGTTCCAAGTCTCGACAAGCTGCTTATCATTTTGTTCAGGAGGTATGGGAGCCCGGAGGAAGAATTAGGGTTGGTTTCTGAAGAGGTAGTGATACCAAGATAGGGGATTAGGGGATGTTAGGTAAGTGCTGATAGGTGCTCCCTAGCTAGTTATAACAAGCTATTTTGTCCCATTCGTAAATATCTAAGCTTTTGTTGATCTGAAACTCATTGTCTGGAACTGTTGTTATCAAATTCTGGAACTGTTGTAAGCTTTGTCTGGATCCAGCAGGAGAAGGGGGAAGAAGGAACTCTGTAGCAGGACAAGAAGGCGCAGTCTTCTTTCTTCACGACCAGTTGGCCGCACAAACAATCAGATCACATTCAAAATTACATCATATCTCTCATTGCCAGTAATAAATAATTTAAGTTTCACAGTTAACTCCATCCAGTAATTATTATGATAGTAGTTCAAAATACAAACCAATAGAGCAATGGTCTTTCAACGTTATCTATCTTTGCATCCTGAAGTGGGTTAGGCGAAAATTCGTCGACCGCACGTTGTCGTAGATTCAGAGTGTAAACAAAATTTGTGAAAATGGGGATCGTACAGTTATTTTTCAAATCTGACAGTTGAGAAGTCAAGAAACGTTCTTTTATCAGGCTAAACGAAATATATCAAACTCGAAAAGCTGACATTTGCAAATTTATCGAATGAAAAACATGATTCATCTTTAGGTGTATATTTTTATGATATCTAGGATGCAACTTGGAATACTATATATTATATATATACTACAATGTACTGCAATTCAGAAAATTCTAACGCCTAAGACTGATGAACGAAAGACTTAGACCTGAAATCAAGTTTAAAAGATCTCAATGTTACTTTATTGTGCATTCTAGGAGGCTTAGTGGTAGGAGGGACAAACCTATTCTCTATGAAGCTTTGCCTTACCTTAGAGCGGATCATTGGGCCTCTTAAGTGCTCGTACTGACGGGGATGATGTCCCTTAGATAATGCCCACAAGAAACCTAAAGCCAAAGGACCACAATCATAAGAATTACCCTGCACCTGCGTATCAATATACCTAACTAAAGTAGTGAGAGGTCTTAACTTAAGAATACAGTGAGTGATGGACTTATCTAAAACAGTACTGTTCTCTAAACTAGCTGAGGTTTTCATGGAATCAAAAATTTCTACAACATGAGGTTCACTTATGAAAGTAAGGGCGTTAGATATACAGAACCAATGTAAATTACTAGGATTAATTATCTGGATAAACTTACTGTCAACTGGACTAAAACTACTATAACTATAAGGACTGGATAAGCAAGTGTCTTGAAATGAAAATGAGTTGGAACGATGAATTTTACACATGTTGCTATAACTATTAACTATAATATCATCATACCATGTACTAGAACTTTGACAAATATCATATTGCTCCGAATACATACTAAGTCTTCCTGTGTCGGAGTGAGTGAGCCAGTTACTAGATACTGAAGTTGATTTTGATTCTGCACTAACCTTAATCTTCTTACGCTTAGCACCAGCTTGTGACGGCTGTGCTCTCTTAAAGCCTGAGGACGGTTCAAAATCAAATATATCAAGTACTGGGCGCTTACTTTTATCAACACTAGGTGCGGGCTTAGACTGATCAGAAACAGGGGTACTTAACTTAAAGATTACAAGACAGGCTGAACGTGAAAATTCTAGGAATGCATGTTTAGAGAGTAGATTAGACTTAGTGTTGGAAAACTCATAGCAATTTGTTTATCTCGTTGAGATGATTCTAACCATTGTAATGACCAAGATGACCACTTATTTCCCATCAAAAGACCGAAGCTGAGATATCTTGTATGAAGTGTGTCAATCGATGCTCGTGAGAGTGTAAAAATGGGGTCTGAACTGAAAACACAACAACCCGAAGTCTGAAGACTCTAAAACCATGATCATTTAAAATTAAATACAAAAGACGAAAGTTTAGCTCTTATCAGAAGCAGAGATATCTTTAAACAAGTGAGATAAAGGGTGTGGTCATACATATAACTTTAGTCTAAGGGTCACGAAATCCTCTCCGAACCTCAGCGTGGTGTGGCCTGGTTGGCAGTAACGGGTGGTGTGCTCTCTTGTTGAGTACAAAGGTTGAGACTTGCCAACTCAAAGTTCCGATGTGGCCTGGTTGGCAGTAACGGGTGGTGTGCTCTCTTGTTGAGTACAAAGGTTGGGACTTGCCAACTCAAAGTTACCATAGGAACCAGGAAGTCGACACTAACAGCTACCAAGCATCAGGAAATTTCTCTTTCAGATATCAGGATACCAGATAGTACACGCACGAATGACGACACGTTAGACAAAGATACCTAGCTCTAAGAGCTATTAAATCACCAAGAAATTCTCCTTCGGCTTTTAGGTCCCAACGAAGTCACCCACCACAGAGCTACGGATTCCAATTCGCTCATTCTGACTACAAAGACACACTGATAATTAGTAGTCTTTGCACTCCCTCAAGTAACCACTATTCAGGTCTTTTTCAGTTAAGACAGGTAATGCATAAGGGCTGACACACGCTAGACACAGGCTCGTGATAAGACAGAGTTAGGGATTTCAAATCTCTCACTCTGACTATGAGGAGTGAGGACACACTGATAGCGAGAATCCTTAGCACTTCTCCCTCCAGTGACCATATTCCAGGTCATCTCAGCTAGACAGCTAAGGGCTCATCTTGAGGCCATCACATTTAACCTAGGATTAGGGGACCGGGTTAGCTTTGCCACACTCTTCATTGAAGTGTGACAAAACGCTCTACAATCATCTAATAGCAGCAGAGTTCGACTGACACCATTACTGGTTCTAATTAGTTTATACAGCAGAAGTTCTTAACGTTCGAAAACAGTTCATCTTGGACATCCTCCAGAGATGCTCTATCATAGCCTGTCGCATTACACGGGGAACCCTTAGATCTACAGTACCCTGGTGGACAGCATAGCTCACTAAAGCATAATCGGACCAGGAACAAACAACAATGCAATGCCTCAGGGATGCAAATATTAGGACATCAAAATTTTAACGAATGCATTACTCAAACTTTGGATTCAATTTGTTAGCCCAACGTTAGATGGTAACAATACAGGACAGACAATCCTCTTTTACTTTCATTGAGAAAATAGTACCCACTATTTGCATTAGACATGGCAAGTATCTGGACTAATGATAACTTAGGATCCCCATCAATCATTAATTCCTCTCAGATTCCCAGGCTGCATTTAAAGCGCCTAACAGCACCAGTTTTAACTCCAGGTTCGTTCAAGGACGTAGCCAGGATTTTTCTTTGGGGGGGGGGGGGGGGGGGGGGGGGGGGCCTGTCGGCGAGCCAACACGTCCATTCCAGCTGCGCAGCGAGCAAGCTGTGGCGGAGGTCGTGGGCCCAGGGCCCAGCGGGGCCCAGGGGCGGAGCCACTTGGCGGGGGCTAGGGTGGCGCAGGCCCCGGAAAATTTTGCAAAATAGATTTTGACATTTCCTAGGGTCTAGGAGACACTAGCCCCCCCCCCTGTCTACGTGCCTGGGTTCGTTCTGAACATCTCAGACCAACTCAATTCAATAGGTATTCACATCGAGTAGAACTTGGATGTTCCAGGGCATGAAGGAGTAACGGTAAAGAACTAGCGGACGAATTAGCAAGGGATGATCAATCCAACAACATCCCCATAGGACCAGAACCCTTTCTCCCAATTAGGCCAAACTCAGTGACAAAGGAAAATCACACTTGAGATGTTCCTTCACAAACATAAATACAGGTATTTTAATTTTTCTGGAACTCACATCAGATGGCTGACACGGCCACTGTCAGGATAGATCACAGCCCACTAGTTTAACAACGTCAACTTCGAGACACAAGATTGTGGACACTTTCAGGAGAAGCAGAAACATCCCAGCACCTCCTCTGCAAGGGCATCCATATCATGACACTCAGAATGAGGATAATTGGAAAACCACTAAGGACTACGGAGGATCTTAACTGTTCTAACCAATCTTTCCCCTTTAGCAAAGTCACCCTGAACTCTACTGTGGTGAGTAGAGTGTTACACTTTGTAACGGTGGTTAGCTTTTCTTAGTATTATAGCTTTCAGTTCATGTTTCTAGTAAGATAAGATCTGGTATTGATACTTCTAATTGCATTTATTCTATAATGAATTGCATTACACATTATATATGCTTTTAGATAGATACCAATCATCGTGATTCCATTGCATACATCAGACTAGAGCAATAAACATTAACAACAGTAAATTCAACCATATCTTCAAATTTGTGGAACAGTCGACAATACTGGATAGTATAGGGAAAACCCTGGATTCTTCCTTTAAGTGTATACATACTATTACTATCCAGAACTAAGAATATTTGCATTATACTTTCAAACCAATTTCACAGTGTGATCATTTAAACTTCATGTTGTGGACGTCAGCTGAATTTGATGCAACCGAAAATGCGACATGAGCATGTAAATTTGATATGAGAAAAAAAATTGCGCAACAAAAAATTTGGTTAAATCTCCTTATTGCGATTTCTAACTGCGCGGCGTAGCACGTACTTTTAAATCCAAATAAAAATTCTTTTTGTAGTAGTGGAACAGCAATACTAAGGTAATGGGACTACTGCGGACCCTCTACCGGCCAAACCTTGTTAACAAAGCCGCAGTCAAGGTTCGGTGAACGGTAGTTAAAAGCGCTTAAGGGACATAAGTCAAATTGGTAGAGCAACATCATGTAGTGGACGTCTTAAGAAATGAGGAGTAGGTCCTTCACACAGACATCGAACGCTGTACGAAGATGACGATCAGACCTCATTATTAAAAATTCTTTTTGATTAAAATATCAAAAAATAAAATTACGGCATACAGCAAATCTTGTGTAAAAAAATGTGATAAACAATATGCTGTAAAAAAAATTTGTCAAAAACTTTAAGAACACGATGCCCCGCCCCATTTTTTAAATGGTCATTTTTGGAACTTTGACGGGCTATAACTTTCGCTAGGAACAGCCATTTGCCCAAAACTTGGTACCAAACGACTCTACTCAATGAGACCTTTCCAATGATGTATAATATGTTGGGTTTTGAGACATAAAATGTTCACCCGCAAGTTGATGCTCTTAGTACATACACTAAAGCTTATAGACAGCCTCGTTAAACCAGTCGCTACGTATGCCTGTCAGATATGGCTACCGTGTACAAAAATGGCAAAGGAGATCATGGCTTGCGCTGATGGTTCAAGACAGAACCTTGCTAGAGCTGCAACAAAGGACGCACTTGAGACAACACACCTGAAAATGCTGAAGTGGTTGCTCGGCTTACACAAGAAAGCTAACAACAACTTCTGTTACGGAGATACGGGCAGGTTACCATGGGCCCTGTCGGTACTACCACAATGCCTGAGATACTTCGACAGATTGTCTCAGACATCACCCGACGTGAGCAGCGTCAACTTTCTTGTACATCAGACGTTAGTAGTATATGATGCATTTTTCAATAGCCATTTTGGGAAAAAGTGGGGTACACATAATGAAAGTAAGCATATTACGTAATGTTACCGGCGGCGTCCTTGTAATTAGTGGATATCATGTTCCATGTGGAAGCTATATTAGATGTAACTTGATTATTACGTCATGTTCATTGCTCGCGGTACTTTTGTGATATTATCGTGTAACGATCTTACCAGATTAAAGTGGGCCAAAGTGAGGTAATAATGTGCCACCTGCAGCACGCTATCCTTATCCTATAAAGCACTTGAGTGACTTATTTAATCGTTTCTAGTGATTAATTTACACCAGCTGTCAATATAAACTGATTGATGCTGTTAAAAGTAAAACAAATTATTCGTAACTGGTTAGAAAAATAAATGGAAATGAATAAGTTTTTACGAATAGCATTAGCTGAATATTAATATTATTTACACAATACACATCCAAAAATACGTTTTGACAGAATTGAATTAGGGTCTTAGAGTAGTATGTAATATGGTACCGCTGTATCACCTAAAAGTGAGGTACCAGTTTGACAGTTTCGACAAGAGGGGGGGGAGAGAGAGTGTGTGTGTGTGTGTGTGTGTGTGTGTGTGTGTGTGTTTGTGTGGGTGTATGTGTGTGCGCGTGTGTGTGTGTGTGTGTATATATACTGTTACTTTTATGGCGTGCCTTATTTTTTAGCTTGTTTTATTATTTACTTGAGTAAACAATTTAAAGTGCAACCGCTACACATACCTATGACTTTTTGTGTTTATTTTCTGTAGTTTACTAATATTTCTGTTTTTTTGTCATATTTTTCTCGCAACTTTTTAGCTATAGCATTTTTTATCTTTTTTATCGGGACAGTTACGACTGAAACACAAATATTATTTTAGAATAAATTAAAAAGAATATTGAACAAAGTAAAATCGATACAATATATCACCACAAAATAAGCATTATTCAAGTCTAGCATGCAATATAGTTAATCAAAATTTCGTTTACTCACAATTTTTCAATAACTATCGCAAATAAGTGTCAATTACTCTAAATAAAGTTTAATAGGTAAACATTGATCCTATTCTCATTAACATTCTTAATAAAAACAACATTCATTTAATACTTACAAATTTTTGTGTCCATAACTCAAAGTACTAATACCATCGTCTAAAATAAATTTTTTATCGTCAAAACCAGAAAGTCCTCGTTTTTGTACTACAACACTAAAAATCTTGTTTCCAAAAACGCGAATTGTTTGTGACTTTGTCATCGTTGTTGACTGAGTATCTAATACGTTTCTGTAATCTTCATGTCGGATCCGTCTTTGAGCAGCTTTAGCTATCCCTTTGGCTGTGACAGAATGTCCAATGAAACAAGATGAAGTGCATTCATGTTGTTCACTGCACCTGGTTACAAGCTTCTTTGTCATGACAGAGTACATTTTAGGCTTCAGAGCAATAACCTCACTAATTATTTCAGTCGGTTTCTCGTCTGAAAACTTCCCAGGCACTTTTTTGTTGGTGGGGTCATTAAATCTCGACAGTGGGGTATTCTCAACGTAACCTGATAGATCCATAAGTTCACGTATACTGTATAGATCTTCGTACCCATTCTCTGCAAACACACCATAAATGAAGCTGTCCGTGTCACTTAGGATGAGTTTTATTCTTTCACCATATTTCGGCTTTAGGACGTCATACCAGAACTCTCCCATGATATGTTTGGCATTTTCCAAAACGATAAATCCACAAGCAATGGGTTTGTTTAGTACTAAGTTCCGCTTCACAGACTGTACAACAGTAGTTTGCTCATCCAGCATGTGAAATCCAATAAACTGCGGCTTAGAAGTGAGGCGCTTTGCAGATCTTTCATCTTTTACAATGTCAACATTAGTACGATTTCTCAAACTCTCGATAAACTTACCATAAATTGAATTGTTAGCAAGTTTAAAGAAGTCTTTTTCAAAATCGGACTTGGCATTTCGTCTTTTTACCGAGTTAAATTTAATGTATGGAGTGACAAAGTCTGTTTGATCCGCTGCCATAACTCGGTGAATCTTTTCAAGAATCAACCCTTTGCTCAAACATAATTGGAGTGTCTTGAGGGAGCATACAAAATGCTTCTTATCTTTTAAATCGGGAACCAGTTTACGAGAAGACTTGAATTTTTCGTTGTGCATCTCCAAAAACGTTTTATTGTAGGGTGATAACTGATGCTCATAAATCATTTTGCTTTCCACAGCAAGAGGGAAGTCATTGTGGTGATCGTGCAGATGTTTTGGATAATGTAGGTCAACTTCCAAAATATAGCAGGTGTCACCTTCGGGATCTAAATCACCAATATTCAACGATCTTATTTCATTCTTACTAAGCCAACGGAAATTCTTACAGGGAAGCTTGAATGACATAGACTTTCCATACAGATTATTCGCATCGACATAGTGAATGAAAGATGTTGGTTTACTGCAATCGTAGTCATCCAAATATGGGTTGTTAGCTTTGAATTGACGATGATTGACAGTGGTAACTCCGCCCCGGAGATTTTTCTCTATAAATGTATACATATCGATATCAGTCATGTACTCAATATTGACTTTTGTCATCTTTAGCATAGCATCCCATGAAAATCCTGGCAAACTCATGTAATGACAGCAGTCAAGGCCGTAGTAATCCAGGCAAAGTTTCCGGAAGTTTTCAAACACATCACATAATAGAAGAGCATCAGATTTTACGTACAGCTCCATGTAATCCAACAATGTTTGACAGTTCATGGTTTTGAAGACATTTTGAGCCCTTGAGTAGTCAGAGTCAGAGATATCCTCATCTCTAAGTTTACTGTAAAATGCCTGCTTTGGAGGAAGATTCTTCTCGGAGAAAACTGAGTAAGATGATGCATAGTCATAAAAATACACACCCTTTTCTGACAAAAGCTCATAGTTTTCCGGGAACTCACGTTTTAGTCTCTTGAAGTTTTCAAGACCAGACTTTTTCATGTTAGCAGTTAACTTTTCCAACGAGGTGGAAAGAAAAGCAAAGCTGTCCAAGAAGGTAAATTTATCTGTAAACACTGCTTTAAACTTCTCTAGTGTCTCAGGAACCACATCTAACTTGTCGACCCTTTTTGTCAAATCCAGCAAGAAAAGGTTTAGATCGTATCCTTTTAAATTGTGTGCGAATGCTGGGACCCTTTTGCTTCTATTGAAGTAGTTGATATTGCAAGTATTGCACGCAGCACCTCTAAAGTTATTCTTTTTTTTGAGATGGTCATGATCTCGAACTGGATAATTCGTTCTCGACTCCCAGTTCAGTCTTCTTTTGCAAATATGACAAATTTTAGCACTTTTAAACTTTATTTCATCTTCTGCTGTCATGTCTATTGGGTACTGATTCTTTTCATAGCACTTCATCATATCATCATGGATCTTAGTTAGCTGTGAGATAAACTCTTCAGTCACTTTATTAGGATCTTCATCGCTGAAAGTGACAACTTTGGAGTCATATTCTGAAAACTCTGACACAGTAACAATACAAAAGCTACAGGGCACATGCTTTTGATACTTTTCCGTATAGCTACAAGAGCCTTTTTTGCTGCAAGAACTGTAAGGTACTGTTAAACATTCAAAGTCAAAGTACACAGTAAATAGTTTCTTGTCTTGCTTGTGAAATGCCTTGAATTCAATGACTCCTGGGTCGGGCATCTTTACTAACTGATTGATCCCTTGCTTGCAGTTCTGGTAGTGTTTGTTATGGTTCTGCAGAGATACAAATCCATGCATACATTTTCGACAGTAAAACATCGTGTTATGATGTCTAGAACGATGTCGCATGAATGCATTTAAGTTTTTTATCAGTAGGTAATGGGCACACCCATCATTTTCCAGATAAAGTAGATCAATTTGCGTTCCGACACCACTACCATGTTTTAGAGGCAAGACTTCTTCACTGTCAACGCACCACTGGAAGACAGAAATTGACAACTTGTTTAACTTCTCAACTTTTGATATATCTTTTATTCTGACTGGAAATTGGACAGAGGCCATATCTATCTTACTGGCGTAAGGTAGATATTTTGTATGTCTATCTGGGTTTTGACCATTAACTGGATATATCTTTGCCAAAATGCAATAAAGGAAGCATTTGGTGTCGGGGGATGCTATGTTTAGGATAGATCTCATTTTCTTTAGCTTCTTTGGAATAGACACGTTTCCGGATGCAAAGAGTGGTGAGTACTTTGCTATCTCAACATGAGCACATAGTAGCTCATCGAATATCCAGCCACTTCCACACCGTTGATAAGTTTCAATTCCGTGTCTAATGTAGCTTTTTGCACGCGATAGAAGATCTGCAATATTATCTGCAAGTAGCAAGGGTTCACATATGGATCTAAATACCTTCTCTGAGTAGTCCCGATCGTCAAGTACATGCTTTTGGAATGAAAGAGTGATAACTAGTTGCACTTTTATAGGATTCTTTTGTACAAATGGAGTTATCTTATTTCCAGCTGCAATGCACGAGTCTGACAGAATTTGATCGTAGTCTGAACTTTTCTCTACATCAAGCTTATATGACCTGAAATATCCTGCAATTGAGGTGCATTCTTCTTCGCTATTTAGATGTTCATGAACACCAGAGTGACGATTGCACAAGGATTCGTCAATATCAGAGCTACACAAAAGCTCATGTCTCGCCAACTTGTCAGAGCGAAAAAACTTCTTGCAATTCCTGCAGGGCTTCTCAGGATTATGAGTCGGGATATGCCGTTTCAGGTTGTCAGATCTCATTCTCTTTGAGCAGATAGGACATTCCAAAATTGGGTTTTTGTTGCGATTTTTATCAGCTGTCCTTGCCCCAGGTCCCCTTTTCATGATTTCTTTTCCGTAGCACAAAGATGTGTTGCAGAGCACAAAAAATCAAACGTAACTGAAACAGCAGTTTGAGAAATGAGCTAAAAGTCCACTGGTTCTCCTTTTATAGCCGTTTTCAGAGGAAACACAAAATTTGGTGCTTTCCTGTAAAACTTGATGTGTGTCTTGAACTTGTAGCAGAGCACAAAAATCAAACGTAACTGAAACAGCAGTTTGAGAAATGAGCTAAAAGTCCCCAAGTTCTCCTTTTATAGCCGTTTTTTCAGAGGTAACACAAAATTTGATGTTTGCCTGGAGAACTTGTTGTGTGTCTTTAACTTGTAGCAGAGCACAAAAAATCAAACGTAACTGAAACAGCAGTTTGAGAAATGAGCTTTAAGTCCACTGGTTCTCCTTTTATAGCCGTTTTCAGAGGAAACACAAAATTTGGTGCTTTCCTGTAAAACTTGATGTGTGTCTTGAACTTGTAGCAGAGCACAAAAAATCAAACGTAACTGAAACAGCAGTTTGAGAAATGAGCTAAAAGTCCACCGGTTCTCCTTTTATAGCCGTTTTTCAGAGGTAACACAAAATTTGATGTTTGCCTGGAGAACTTGTTGTATGTCTTTAACTTGTAGCAGAGCACAAAAAATCAAACGTAACTGAAACAGCAGTTTGAGAAATGAGCTTTAAGTCCACTGGTTCTCCTTTTATAGCCGTTTTCAGAGGAAACACACAATTTGGTGCTTTCCTGTAAAACTTGATGTGTGTCTTGAACTTGTAGCAGAGCGCAAAAAATCAAACGTAACTGAAACAGCAGTTTGAGAAATGAGCTAAAAGTCCACTGGTTGTCCTTTTATAGCCGTTTTTTCAGAGGTAACACAAAATTTGATGTTTGCCTGGAGAACTTGTTGTGTGTCTTTAACTTGTACCAAAGCACAAAAAATCAAACGTAACTGAAAAAGTAGTTTGAGAAATGAGCTATAAGTCCACTGGTTCTCCTTTTATAGGCAAATGAACATGTTGTAGTGCAAGTAAAAACACGAGTTGGACACAACTGTAACGCTATAAACTATCATAAAGTAGACAATAGTGATGGATTATATCGATATTAAACGCATTGTAATATCAAAATTCGTTATTTTTCTTTACCTAATCGGCGTCTCTTTTAAATCAGTAGCTTAAGGTAGTCGGATAACTAGATTTTTCAAGTACTTGAGTTATTTTCCTGCTACTTTTGATCATTCAAAAAGATAAAATTTAAGAAAAAGCTGCCCGGACGAGCTCAGTGTACATGCTTTGTTAGTTATTACAGCGTGGTTACTATGTTCATATATATTGGAACAGTGCATATAATCGAAAGTATGCATCCAGACATGTGTATGTGTTCGACCAGAGTTCGTTTCAAAGTCTACAGCTCTCACATAACTCATTTTAGTGGGCATTCCCACAATTATTTGAGATGGAAATGAGTGGAGAGAATGCTCTCCTGATTCCGTATTTTCTCGGGAGCCAACCCCGAACAGTGATATAGCTGACTCATGGTACTGGAGATAGGCTAAGATCTCTCTAACCGAACCGTCAGCATCAGCCATATCACAGAAATTTACTACGGCCTTGACTGCTGTCATTACATGAGTTTGCCAGGATTTTCATGGGATGCTATGCTAAAGATGACAAAAGTCAATATTGAGTACATGACTGATATCGATATGTATACATTTATAGAGAAAAATCTCCGGGGCGGAGTTACCACTGTCAATCATCGTCAATTCAAAGCTAACAACCCATATTTGGATGACTACGATTGCAGTAAACCAACATCTTTCATTCACTATGTCGATGCGAATAATCTGTATGGAAAGTCTATGTCATTCAAGCTTCCCTGTAAGAATTTCCGTTGGCTTAGTAAGAATGAAATAAGATCGTTGAATATTGGTGATTTAGATCCCGAAGGTGACACCTGCTATATTTTGGAAGTTGACCTACATTATCCAAAACATCTGCACGATCACCACAATGACTTCCCTCTTGCTGTGGAAAGCAAAATGATTTATGAGCATCAGTTATCACCCTACAATAAAACGTTTTTGGAGATGCACAACGAAAAATTCAAGTCTTCTCGTAAACTGGTTCCCGATTTAAAAGATAAGAAGCATTTTGTATGCTCCCTCAAGACACTCCAATTATGTTTGAGCAAAGGGTTGATTCTTGAAAAGATTCACCGAGTTATGGCAGCGGATCAAACAGACTTTGTCACTCCATACATTAAATTTAACTCGGTAAAAAGACGAAATGCCAAGTCCGATTTTGAAAAAGACTTCTTTAAACTTGCTAACAATTCAATTTATGGTAAGTTTATCGAGAGTTTGAGAAATCGTACTAATGTTGACATTGTAAAAGATGAAAGATCTGCAAAGCGCCTCACTTCTAAGCCGCAGTTTATTGGATTTCACATGCTGGATGAGCAAACTGCTGTTGTACAGTCTGTGAAGCGGAACTTAGTACTAAACAAACCCATTGCTTGTGGATTTATCGTTTTGGAAAATGCCAAACATATCATGGGAGAGTTCTGGTATGACGTCCTAAAGCCGAAATATGGTGAAAGAATAAAACTCATCCTAAGTGACACGGACAGCTTCATTTATGGTGTGTTTGCAGAGAATGGGTACGAAGATCTATACAGTATACGTGAACTTATGGATCTATCAGGTTACGTTGAGAATACCCCACTGTCGAGATTTAATGACCCCACCAACAAAAAAGTGCCTGGGAAGTTTTCAGACGAGAAAACGACTGAAATAATTAGTGAGGTTATTGCTCTGAAGCCTAAAATGTACTCTGTCATGACAAAGAAGCTTGTAACCAGGTGCAGTGAACAACATGAATGCACTTCATCTTGTTTCATTGGACATTCTGTCACAGCCAAAGGGATAGCTAAAGCTGCTCAAAGACGGATCCGACATGAAGATTACAGAAACGTATTAGATACTCAGTCAACAACGATGACAAAGTCACAAACAATTCGCGTTTTTGGAAACAAGATTTTTAGTGTTGTAGTACAAAAACGAGGACTTTCTGGTTTTGACGATAAAAAATTTATTTTAGACGATGGTATTAGTACTTTGAGTTATGGACACAAAAATTTGTAAGTATTAAATGAATGTTGTTTTTATTAAGAATGTTAATGAGAATAGGATCAATGTTTACCTATTAAACTTTATTTAGAGTAATTGACACTTATTTGCGATAGTTATTGAAAAATTGTGAGTAAACGAAATTTTGATTAACTATATTGCATGCTAGACTTGAATAATGCTTATTTTGTGGTGATATATTGTATCGATTTTACTTTGTTCAATATTCTTTTTAATTTATTCTAAAATAATATTTGTGTTTCAGTCGTAACTGTCCCGATAAAAAAAGATAAAAAATGCTATAGCTAAAAAGTTGCGAGAAAAATATGACAAAAAAAACAGAAATATTAGTAAACTACAGAAAATAAACACAAAAAATCATAGGTATGTGTAGCGGTTGCACTTTAAATTGTTTACTCAAGTAAATAATAAAACAAGCTAAAAAATAAGGCATGCCATAAAAGTAACAGTATATATACACACACACACACACGCGCACACACATACACCCACACAAACACACACACACACACACACACACACACACACACACACACACACACACACACACACACACACACACACACACACACACACACACACACACACACACACACACACACACACACACACACACACACACACACTCTCTCTCCCCCCCCCCCTCTTGTCGAAACTGGTACCTCACTTTTAGGTGATACAGCGGTACCATATTAC